TGACCACAGCTTGATCCTGGAGGCAAAAGGCTGAGCCAAATTGGGTTTATATTCCCTGCAAATCCAAGAACCCCAATTCACAGAAGGGCAAAGGGCTTCTTGCCAGCACCAGTAATTCCCTTTGAATAGCTGGGTGCACCCCCAACCCCGCAGGGAAGATGGAGTGCAGTGGGCCAAGGGGGCCTGACTCCTGGAAGGGTGTTACAGGGTGGGAGAGAGGAGGACTGGAATTTATTCTGAGCTCATCGGAGAATTAAATCGTTATCCTCCAGGATGAGGATTTATGGTTATGTCTCTCAAAGCTTTCAGCACATCAGGTGAATGGGTGGGAGCTGGTCCTGGGTGCTGTGCTGCATTGAGTGAAGCCAGCAGAGAGGAGATGGTCCTTACATGTGTCTCAGGAGCAGGAGCTCCTACAAAGAGCATTGTCCCTTCTGCAGGGGAGGAAACTCAGTTTGGACATCCTTTCAACTGCAAACAGTCTCCACTGGGATCCCTGGGCCTATTATAGACTGATTAAATATTAAAACAATTCATTTTGTACTTAAACTGTTCCGAAGGCTCCTGCTGATGATGACTTTGAAGTCTGCGGTGAAAGGGTTTGCTCTCGTTTTCTGCTTCCCCCCCCCATCTCCTCCATCCCCACCTTTCCCCAGGCAGGAAGGAGAGGGTCAGCCCTCACAGGGTCTGCCTCTCCCAGCACCAGTGGTTGGGTCTGGCTTGAGATGGAGGGTCCTTTGCTCTGTGTGTGGGAGCTTGCTGGTGCTTGGTGCTGTTGGAGCAGGAGGCTGGTTGCTGGAGGCAGTGGTTGCTGGTGGCAGGACCAGTAGAGCCCCTGGAGGGAACAATTTGTGTCTTCTGGGTATGGATGCTGAGAGGAAAAGGGGCAATGGAGAGGCTGGGGTGGCAGCCTGTCCCCTCTTCCATGGGAACAGCAGGTCCCTGTCTGGTCCTGCTGGTGTCCAGAGAGCTCCCAGAAGTGGAGGTGTCAGCACGGACCTGGTCTTATGGCAGGAGGTCCAGGCTGGGTGTCCTGTACACTGCTTCCTTCTGGAGGCCAGTGTGTGGAGGTAAAACCACCCCATGCATCACTTGCTATCTTCAGGGCTTGAGCCTGTAGCATCCTGGATCTGGGTGCAAAGCCTCTTTTACCCTTGGTGACCCCAAGTCATATGATGTCCATCCAGGGATAGCATTGAATGATTGGGGTGAGCTCAGGGATTGTCCACCTCTGCACTGGGTTTTGTCTATCCCCATGGCCTTTGCCTGGAAAGAGCAAGAGCAGCTGGATCCAGTCCCAGGTTCTGGCATCTCAGACAACCCTGTGCCTCAGCAGGAAGGAGAAGACACTGCTGGGAGATGAGGGTTTGCTCATGGTCTGCTGCGGGAGGGTCCAGGCCAGGATCCCTATTTCTGAAAGGGTACTGGAGCACCTGGAGGGCTCAGAGCTTCAAGTTCAAGCAGCACCCTGCCTGCCTGCCTGGTCCCAGCTCAGGAGCCAGATCACAGCAGTGCAGGAGGACCCGAACCTCCTCTGCCTGCTGCAGTCAAAGGAAAAGGTGAGTGGCAAATACTTCACCCCCCCAGCCAGATCTGGCTTCTTCCACCCTTTCCTCCCCCTCTCCAGCCCATCTTTTACATCTGTTGTATGTGAAATCCAGCAAACTCTCAGCAGAGCTCATTACTCACAGCCCATTGCTCTGAAGAGGGCCGAAAGGTCCTGCACGTAATGATTTGGAGGTGATTTGTATTTAAGACAGTTGGCTTTCAGATGCTGGGGGGGAGGGGAAATTAAATAATTGAAAGCTAGTGGGGAAGGGGAGAGCCCTGGATAGAGGGAGAGGACAAGAGTTTCTCACCATCTAGAAGGGTTTCAGCTCACCTGCATCTGTTGCATAGATGCAGACTTAAAACCTAAGACAAGAAAGTCTTCCTCATGTCCATGCAGCGTCAGAGCATTCCCCAGGGATGGGCTGGGCTGCGGTGGATGAACCAAGAGGCTTCTCCAGGGATGGCTGTTGCTGAGCTGCGCTGAGCAGCCAGGGCAAAAGGTCTGGCCAAGTAGGGCAGGGACCTGCTGGCCCTAATGTCTTGGTGTGATGCGATTCCCTTGGCCACACCAGACTGCCCTTCCCTTCCCTCCCCTCCTGCCTCTGCCTTTCTTTGCTGCTGACTCCAGCTCTCAGCTCCTGGCATGTTTTAAGCAATGACTGCAATTTTCCAGCCCAGGTCCAAATGTTTGGGAAAACTTACTGGTAAACTGCTACCACAGCAGCTACAGGAGGGCAAGGCTGAAGGGCACAGTGCTGGCCATGAGCCTCTGCAGGGCAGACACACAAAGAGCATGGCTTGCTGATGAAAACTTGGATTAAGAGCATCACAGGATGTTTCTTGAGATGTCGGAGCAAAAGGAGAAGCCCCTGGGGCAACCTTTGGTGGATGGGGAAACTGAGGCACAAATGGTAGAAATTAATCACCTAGGGAAAGGCCAGTGGTCTGAATGCTACTTGCCTAAAAGTTCAGTAGGGTGGGATGTGGAGCTTAGGCTTGGTCTAAACCAGCCCTGTTTTGCTTCTATACACCACAGCTCCTTTCAGCTGATTTCTTTCTTCTGAACCACTTTGTTCCGGTTCTGCCTAAAACCAAGAGCAACAGAAGGCTGCAGGTTTGTGCAGGAAACCAGGATCCAGCTGCCTGCTCATGCTCTCCTTTCCCCACTGGGTGCAGACCTCAGGTCCTCCCCCCCCCAGTGCCATGAGGTCTCAGCAGGGTTTGGCACCAGCCTTCGCCTCTGGAAACTGGAGACTGAGCAGTGCCTTCTGCACTTGACCCCGAAGCTTCATTTACCAAAGCCTGATTTTAACCTTGACCCAAACTTGTGCCTTGCTGCGAATGAGAAGAGGGAATCTGTTCCCAGCCCAGGAAAGCCTCAGATATCCTTCTAATATCCCTCCTATGCCCTAAGGAGATTCCAGCAACCATGGCCCATTAGACAGTGCATTAGGGCCGGGCAGGTGACTTTTAGTCAGACTGGTCAGCTGAAGATCTAAGGCTGAGGTCAGATTAGGCTGCCTGAGCTGAAGCTAACGAGTTGGGAGACAGCCGGGGGAATGGAAGTCAAAAATCAATAACCTGGGAAGAGCTGATGCTTTTCCATGTGCCACTCGTGTTTACTGACTCTGTGCAGAAAGGAGGGAAGCTTTAGGAACTTCTCTTAGTGCCTGGTGTTGAACCCCTGGGTGTTCTCTTCCCAGTTTTCTCTCCCAGAGTTCGGGTGTGATTCAGACCTTGTGCATCCTCCCAGAGCGTCATGTTTTCTCCTGAAAAGGCACCCTGTGCCTGACCCTCATATAACTAGATGAGTCTAAGAAAATAACACATTTTTATATATGTAAAAGTCTTAAAATTCCTAAAGGGGCCAACAAGACACCTGGAGAGGGGCTTTGGACAAGGGCCTGTAGGGACAGGCCAAGGGGAATGGCTTTAACCTGCCCGAGGGGAGACCGAGATGAGCTCTTAGGCCAAAGCTCTTCCCCATGAGGGTGCTGAGGTGCTGGCACAGGGTGCCCAGAGAAGCTGTGGCTGCCCCATCCCTGGCAGTGCTCAAGGCCAGGTTGGACACCGGGGCTTGGAGCAAGCTGCTCTAGTGGAAGGTGTCCCTGCCCATGGCAGGGCTTGGAACTGGAGGAGCTTTAAGGTCCCTTCCAACACAAACCAGGCTGGGATTCTGCGATCTCAAGTCTTCAAAGGAAAAGGACACACCAAAGGGGCTATCTCTCATTTGGAGTCAGGGGAAACTGAGGCACAAAGGGTGGATGTGGGTCGTTAGACACCACCCAGCTGGCCAGTGGGGATGGGAAGAGAGTCAGCTCCTGGAAGACCCAAGTAGATTGATGTGGAGTTAATGCCATTGGATGGAAATTAAAAAATTGAGGGGGCTTTGTACAACATTTGTTCCCCCCCCCCAACACCTACATGAGCTTTGAGGTCCCTTCTAACCCATTTGTGATTCTGTGAAAAACAGTTTTTCTAAATCTGGTGCCTATTCAAAGAGGAACCAAGCTCCCATTGTCCCAGAATTTCCTTCTAGGATATAGTGACTGGAAGGGCAAAGGGCTGGGGAAGGTGGTAACTCCCTGTTGCTGAAGGTGGTAACTCGCTGCTGCTGAAGGCGGTAACTCCCTGCTGCTGAAGGTGGTAACTCCCTGCTGCTGAAGGTGCTGGTATTCAGGTGCAGCACCCGCATACCTTTCCTTCAAGGAAAGCTCTTGGGAAAAACCCTTTTCCATTCATTTCTTCGGGGCGAGGACAAGCAGCATTTCTGTTCTCCTCCCCCCGCCCGCCTGTGCCGGGGCGGCCATGCAGCCCGTGCCCTCTGCGCTGCCGGGGCAGCCGCGGCTCGGCGGGAGGCATCCGCCCACCGCTGCGTCCCTCCCTCCTGCTCCGTGCCCGGTGGCCGGAGCAGATGGCTGCGGGGAGCCGGCCAGCCCCGTGAGCACGGGCAGAGCAGGGCTCTCTCGTCATATGCTGTGATCAACAGCTCTGCAGGCTGCGGGGCAGCTCTGTGGTGGGACAGAGGCGTCTCCTGCCCCTGCGAGCCCAGCCGTGGCGCTTGCAGCCTTGGGTGTTTGCAGGGAATGCTCAGATCCTGAGGGCTGTAGGCTAGGCTGGGAGGTGGTACCTCTGCCTGGGGGAGGCGGGGGAAATGGGTTCCTGGCCCCAGCGGTGTGAGCGGTCATATAGCTTAAGGCTGCCCATCAACAGCCCTGCCGCCACCCCGCTGAGAAGGTGCTGAAGGAGAAGCAAGGCAGCAGAGGAAAGCTCTGGATGCTGCATTGCACGCTATGGCAGCACTGGGGAGACTGGGGATGTGCCAATAGCTAGTTCAGGCACAGAATTCACTTAAAATGAGTGTTCTGTGTTTCCAGAAGCCTCCTTGTCCCTCCTTAAAGCCTCATCTGCACAGGACAGATGCTGCTCCCTGAGCTGCTCAGCTAAGCCCTCCTTGCTTGTCCCCTTTCCTGCTACATAGCTGGTGTGTGCATCCCTGTGTGTCTCCCCTTGCCTCCTATGGGTCACAGCTACGTACAAAAGAGGAAAGGTGTGTATGCAGAGGCAATTCCGATGGCTTTCTAGCTTCCAGCAGCAGAGAGTTAAGGGTCTCTGGAGCCAGCAGGTTCAGTTGGAACATCGTAGGTCTCTGCCTCAATTGTGGGTGTCGTCTCTGCTTGTGCCTTCTCCACATCCCATGCTTTGGGGTGTGGGAAATCACTGCCTTTGTTTTCATTAGATCTGCTGCCAGATCCCTGCCCAATCTACAGCCTTACATCCCTACATCAGCTTCTCTGAGATGTGTTGGGTGGTGAGCCTGGAATTTATACTGGAGATTCAGGATTTAAATGGAGAGATGGAGGAAAACTTACATGCTCACATCTAGAAGGTAAGGTGGCCTCTTGGATTTTTCCTAGTAACACCTATTGCCCAAAACTTCTGAGAAGATTTCTTATGTTACATGTTCAAAAAAAGAAAAATAAGGGCAGAATCAAGGCACAGAGGCTGTGAAAGCATTGCATCTGTAGATATAGGCTTTTCTGGGAAACAAAATCAATGCTAACCAGTATATCACAGAGCTACACAAGAACAGCTGGAAGAAGCCCTAAATATTTATTATTAATACCAAAGCTGTTTATTTTCCACATATTAAATAGGTCATAGAACTCATCTAATCAAACCTCTGTGTATGGTGCTGGCTCTGCTGGATTGGAGAAAGATATCGCTTTTGAGGTCTGAGCAGAGTTGGGACCAGATGAGTCCCGGCTTGGGCTGGGCAAGCTGTGCTCCTCCAGAGTTAGAGCCCTAGGTAAGAGCTGTAGGAGGCTGAAAGTCTCCTTCTCATGTAACTGTGTTCTCTCCTGGCATCTCCCAGGATGCAGTCTGGAAATGCGACCAAGAGGAGTGCTCAAAGCAGGGTTTGCAGGTTCAAGTCTCAGCCCATCCAGGGATTCCCTGTGTCAGGATGGATAAACCACTTACACCGGGGTTCAGTCTGGAGTAGGATTGCACAAACCAGCCCTCTGGGATCCTAGAAATGACTGGGAGGCTCGTGGTGGCAGCAAATGTGTTTTCCTCCCTTCAGAGACAGCATTAAGCAAATACCTACAAAGCTGCCTGAGCTTCAGAGCCTGAAATCTTGAAGGTAGCTGGATGTTTAAGTGCATCAGGACCTGATTGCTGCCAAGTCCAGGTGTCAGGGGGGAAATAAGCGTTGTACAAAGTCCCCTGCATTTTACAATCCCCATCCACTGGCGTCAACCCCACATCAATCTACTCTGGCCCTCCAGGATCTAAGAAAAGCTGAGTATCCTCTTTGACTTTCCTCCCAAAGCCAGTGAAGCCCCTATTCCTACCCTCATAGCAATGTGAAGTACAATGCCAGGCTCCAGAGCTGACTCTCTTCCCATCCCCACTAGCCAGCTGGGTAGTGTCTAATGACCCACTCTCACCCATCAGTTTCCCCTGATTCCAAATGAGAGGTAGCCCCATTGGTGCATCCTTTTCCTTTGAAGACATTGCCAAATCCCAGACCAGTTTGTGTTGGAAGAGACCTTAAAGCTGCTCCGGTTCCAAGCCCTGCCATGGGCAGGGACACCTTCCACTAGAGCAGCTTGCTCCAAGCCCCTGTGTCCAACTTCGCCCTGAGCAGTGCTAGGGATGGGGCAGCCACAGCCTCTCTGGCAGCGCCAGAGCTTCTCACAGTGCCTCAGCACCCTCCCAGGGAAGAGCTTCTGCCTAAGAGCTCAGCTCAGTCTCCCCTTGGGCAGGTTAAAGCCATTCCCATTGGCCTGTCCCTACAGGCCCTTGTCCAAAGCACCTCTCCAGCTTTCCTGCAGCCCCTTCAGGCACTGGAGCTGCTCTAAGGTCTCCCCTTAAGGAGCCTTCTCTTCTCCAGGCTGAATGTATGGACCAACTTGCAGCAAAAAGCACTTCTCCCTTCCAGCCATGCTTGTTGTGTATGTGCCTGTCTGGCTTCATGGCTTTGTCACACGCGTGTGCACATTCTTCTCTGCACACGGCAGCTCCAGCGCCAGGACCAGGCTTCTTTCCTTGCAAATCCTCCTCACCACGTATTTACATGGAAGGTGGTGCCTTGCTATACATTAACATTGAAAACCAAACAGCCGGCCCATCAGGAGCATCGCTCTGAGGGATGGCAGCACATTGCAAACATCAAGTAAGTAATTTGTCCAACATCGGTGATAATAAGCTACACAGAGCAGTAAGAACATAAGCACAGGCAGGGCTTTGTGTGTGTATATTTTTATTCCCTTTTTTTTTCTTCTTTTTCTTTTTTTCTAAAGGAACCTCTGAGGGGAAAAAAAAAAAAAGAAGAAGAGACATGAATGATTCATAGATGCAAGGGGGGAAAAGACGGAGGGAGAGGGGGAGAAAGAGAGAGAGATTAAGAGAGAGGAGCTTCAAAGTGACTGGAGCCGATTTGAAGTCCTGAGTGTTCCTGTGCTGGGTAGGCCAGTAATTCACCAGAGAGGCCCCGTCAAGCTCCCTCCGCCCCGGCCTCATCCCTGCTGCCTCCTCCTCCTCTCCTGCAAACGCAGCCTCCAAATCACAAGTTCAAAGTTCACCATCATCTAATGATGTGGAGGCCTCGCAGACCCTCTGTGAGTGGCATCTGTTTATAGGCATGGCCCTTCCCTGGTGGTTTAGCCTGGCTTAAAATAAAGCATAGAAATACAGAATTGGAACCAAGGAGGAAGAGTGGAATGAGATGCAGGGCTCTTTTTTAAAAAAAAAAAAAAAGTATAAAAAATCTGCTAATGGTGAAGTGCTTTTGATTCTGAATATTAAAAAAGCCCATTAGACTTAAATGTAATGAGAATATTAACGCTACTGCCTTGATTTGTATTCACTGGCTACCACAGATATACTTTGGGAGTGGGAAAGGAGAATATAGCTCACACCCAGAGGGAAGCTGTCGCCCTGGTTAGGGAGTGATGAGCTTCCGTGATGGAGGGACCACTTTTGCCCCTCTCCATCTCTCATCCACCTCTCATGATCCCATCTGTTGGAGCGATGGGGACTTTGAAAGCATCTCCATGCTGGAAAAACTGGTGGTGTCACCCCCAGCGTGGTTAAAACTCATCATCCTTCTGAAATTCAGGCATTTCAAAACTTGTTTTTTCTGTACTTGGATAGGGGAATTCCTTGTCCGGGGAATTCCTTCTCCAGGGAATATGAGTCTTGAGATGATTTATTTGTCCTTAGTTTATTCCAAATCACCATTACAATGCTGCTCCTTCCTAATGTTGTAATTACATGCACATTCTGTCATGACAAATCTGCAGAAGAAACAAGTGATGCCTAGGACCAGTCCTGTAAGACCACTCATTGCTTATGTGTCACAAAGTAAATGACACAGTAATGAATGGCTAATACTCTCATTAGCATTACATGCTTACTTTATTTTATTAATCAAAGGCAGTAACATTCACTGGCCTAATGAAACAGTTTGATGTTTTAATACTTCTGAAAGATGGGACAAAAGATAAGGGCTCAGTACTAATTGGGGTAGTAGCTGATTGTCGGAAGACCATTTGAAATGATTTCCTGAGCTAAAATAAAGATATCAAACACTGCAAATGTTCCCATTTGCAAGAGGAAATGAACAGAAATAAAACTGGAGGCTCTAAAAGAATGTTAAAAATAGAAGAAATAATATAGCTGGCCATATTATGACATGAGAAAGATGTCATGACATGTTGTGAATGCTAACAAGTAATGAGATATGCAGAACTCCAACAGAAACATAAAGAAATTCTATTGAACAACTAATGCTGTTAGACCAAAGTTAATATATAATTTCATAGTGGACTTTCAGGGATTTCTGAATTATTTTTAGGAAGTGAAATATTCCAAACCCAGTGGAAATCAAAATCAAGTGATTTTGCACGAATGTTTCTGTTGTGACTTGGGCATTTTAGAAGGAAAACCTTGGTGCTGAGGATTTCTTGGAGCCCTGATCCCAGCTAGAGCTGAATAGATGTTGAAATTTTTAACAAATAGCTGCAGTGTAGGCAATGGTGAGCTGTTTACAGACTTCCATTGAAGCAAGAATTGCTTCCAAACTGGGAAGGAGGTGACACAAAGCAAGGAAAAGTTTGTGCAGGGGTTTCTTTTAAGATTGGGCTAAGGAAATGAGAGTTTGACTTAAATGGGAGCAAAGGGGGAAAACCTCTGTTCTGAGCAGGAAACTCTCTAGTCATTGCTCAGACCTGGGTTGCTCTGTGGCTTCCTTTCCTTCCAAGCATCCTCCCCTTTTTCCGCCTTGTTTAAGCTATCATCTGTAAGCAAAACCATAAAGGAAAGCCTTGATGTCTCTTACAGCAGGTGGCATGGTCTGTTAAACCTTTCAAAGACTACTTGTGACCAATAGCTTGGTGCTCTTCTCTGTCCCTGACTGATTGAAGTCTGAAGCAATAACTGGGGGTTCCTTAATCTTTGACAGCCCTTTGGCTTGAGCCAAATGCTCTTTGCCTGTGCTGAAGAGCTGGGACCTGAAAACTTGTGAGTTATTGCTCCAGACACCACAATACTTTCAACAACACCAAGGAGCAAGGGATTTACAGGGATTTGGGACTCTGTGGTTGTAGAGCAACATATGTCCTCCATGCAGATATCTCCATACTCTGCTTGCCTATGCCAGGAAGAAGGGATGGGGAGAAATCCTGCCTCAGCAGAAAGACCATGACAAAAGTTATGCTGCAAGCCCTGACCTAAGCTGTGAAAGACCATGGATGGAAGAGGGCTGAAGTCTGACCATCTGCAGAAGGTAGTGACCTTTGGTGTTGTGCCTGAATCTCTATGCTGACTATGGAGCAGACCAGGACAGTCGATGGTCTGAATCTTTCCTTGTCCTCTTAAACTGAAAAGCTCAAGGGGGTGGACCAAGGATGACTCTTCTGTTGTTGTATTGGGATTCCCTTAAAATGTCATCTCCATGTGATGAATAATGAATAGGAACTTATGTAAACCTGATTTTATCAACTGCCAGCAAAGTTTGAGCTGAAGTTGCAGCCTTCTAGCAGAGGCTAGTGGAGCTCTTGATGTAGTGGAATCCAATGATGCTCGGCCTGCTGGTCCTCACAGAGAGCTTGGGCTGCTTGTGTTGCCACTGCAGCCTGAAATGTGATTTTCCCTAGAGGAAAATTCCCATTGCAATGCACACACAAGAAAGCACAATTAACTTCACTGGAGGAGCCTTACGCCTCCTTTCCTTGAGTGTTGTGTAATTAAAACCTTGGTCTTGTTAATACATTAGTAAGATGTTTGCATATAATTCATCAAATGTTTATGAAAATGCGTAACATATAATCCTGACAAACAAGCTGCTTAATTGAGATAAGGGATGGGAAGCCTTGTGAATTTTTAATAAAAAGGGGGAAAGCAAGCGTGCTACGTTAATCAGATGAAGTTATCTCATTCGATATATTCAAGTGTCTTCTCTAGAGCACATTTTATTTAATATATTACACAAAAGGAATATCTTGATCCCACAAAGCGATTTGCATAGAAAACCCTCTCTTGCAGCAAACATACCATTGTCTTGAGGCATTCCCTCAGCTATTGATCAAGGTCTTAGTTTTTGGTTCTTGACAGAAAACAACAATTAAACCTGCCTGGGATTTGCAATTCCTGTAGCTGGGAGAGGAACGACTCATGCCAGCCGATGCCCGGGTGCCTTCCTCCAAGTGAGCAGTTAACTCCATCACGTAGCATCAGCGGTGACGTCAGGACACAGGACACGGTGGTGAACTGAGCTTTGTTTCCACCTGATCCAAGACCACGCAGAAGCAATAGTAGGCAGAGAGCCTTTTGTTTACTTCAGATATGATAATTGTCTGCTCCTTTTTGCCTCTTTTCACCCAGGTTAATGATCGTGGGATGGTTTATCTTGCCTCTCGTGAGTTATCTGAAAATTGGATGTCCAAACCAAAGCTAGACATGCCAGCCAATGAGCTGCAAGTCTTTTTTTTAATCTCATTATAAATACTTAAATGCTTTGTATACGGATGTTTCAGTGAGGACAGAGGTATCCTGATTGGGCAGGGCTCTGAGCAACCTGGTCTAGTTGAAGATGTCCCTGCTCATTGTAGGGGGTTGGACTAAATGAACTTTAAAGGTCTCTCCCAATGCAAACTATCCTATGATTCTATCCCACTGTGGCCATCGCCTCTTGGAGCAAGAGGCTGTGAGACCATACCTCTTGTAGATCTCCCTCTTAGCGTAAGAAATCTCCACAAGCGACTTAGGTGCTGGTGTGCACTTAACTATAGATACAGAGTCTGAACCCAGATTTGCCTGTTTTGTTTCCTCCACCTCCTCACAATCACATTGGGATAATACTGTTTAAACCTGAATTTAATGGGAGGAGGAAACTGTTCAAAAGTGCAATGTTCAAAGGTCAACCTGAACTTTCTAATCACTGATTTAATTAAAGTTTTGAAAGTAATTCTTTCAGGACAGGAGAAAAGAAAAAAGTAAAGCTTAGGAATGGAGGACAGAATGGAACAGAAGGAAAGAATGGATGGAGAAGAAGGGCTTGGAGCAGGAAGAGACAGAGGTTTACAACTGGTATTAATGAAAGGCATCTTTGTCTTGGGAGAATGGACACTGAACATTGAGTCTGGACTAGAGCACCAACACATTGTCTTGCTTTGGCTTCCCTGCAAGGTCCTTCTCCTGTTCCAGATTCTGCTGCTGCACACCCTGTTCAGGGGCTGGCAGCAGACAAGGGGGAAGCTGCAATTAGGAACACAAGGTGAAAATTGCTCCAGCCCAACAAAGCTCATCATAGCGCGTTTGACTGTGCTCCCAAAGTACTTGCTCAGAGCAAGCCAGTGATGAAGAAACACAGGCTACGTGGTTTAAAAAGCTCCCAGCCCAGAGTCAGCATTTCTGCCCTGACCCGCCTCATGTATTATTTAGCACAGGACTTGTTGATGCGCACTTATATTCTCCTCCCAGTGGAGTTGATGATCTTCCTCCCCCTGAACAGCCTTGCTGCTCTCTTCCCACACAGACACCACGATCGGTGGCCTGTGGATGGAGCAGGGCTGGGCTGGTGCTCACCCCTTGAGAGATAAGGATGTGAGGTTAAAGGATGGAGGTGGTGGCCATGGCTGGCACTGGCAATGGGAGGAGGATTGGAAGAAGGGTCTATGGGAGAAAGAAAAGAGGGAGAAGTGCAGTTGGAAGTGAGTGGTGTTAATGAAATATTCAGCAGTGGTGGGCCTAGATGCATTGCCGAAATTGCAGAAGCAGAGATGATTAATATTTAACTGGGTAAGCTGCCACTTGGCTGCTCTCTGCACATAGATTCCACCCCCCCATGCACACACACCCCCTTGGTCCTTCTTCCCACCCTCATCCAACTCCCCCAAACTCCTGCCCAGCCCAAGCCAATGGCTCCCACTCTTGTGGTGTGGGCAGGGGAGGTTCCCAGGCCCCTCCATGAGATCTTCCCCCAAGGGAGGACAGGGCCAAAAGTTGCCTGGTGGGAAACGTGCCAGGAGGAGGGTTGTCAAGAGAAAGCACGTAATTCATTTTTCATGGGGTTGGGAGAGCAGGTTGTCCTATTTAGTCACATTAGATGCTCTGTTAACACAACAGAAAGGAAAAAAAAAAAAGGATGAATAAATGCTGGTAGTGGAAGAAGCCTGTTCTCTGAGAAAATAGGGACTGGTCTTTCAGAGGGTTAAGTGTTTTGGCTCCAGCCAAGTGTCCCTTGGGATGTTCCATGTAGATGATGGACAGCTAAGAACTCAGGGAGTGCATGAGGCTCTTCATCAGCTCTTTTGCTGCAGGTGCAATGGCCCAAAGTTGGTTGATATTTGGGACATTCCCACCTAGCCTCTCCATCTGGTATGGAGACAGGTGAGTCCCAGCAGACTGGAGAAGCTCCCTATAAACATCCCCGATAATAGATCCCCCCTTGTCCTTGTGCAAACCCTCCCCAAGCTCAGACATCTCCTCAGGAGCTGTGTTGTGGTTGTGCTGTTACTGTGCTCACTTGAGCTGCCTGTGGTCTCCATGGGTTGAGCTTTGTTCAAACCAGTTTACTTCCATCTTCTGCCTTCTGTTATGTGTTTAGGTACCTGCATCTCAGCATCTGACCCATAGAAGAACGTGAAGGATACCCTGGAGATCCTGCTAGAGACTGAAAAATGGGAGCACCTTCCAAGAGCAGTTTGTATCTTAGAGGGACAGAATCAACTTCCAACAGGAAAGGAAACCTCAGGTAATGTGCCTCCTCAGTTCAGTGTATAATTTAAATAGAAAGATAATATTTAGGAGTATAGTTAGGAGTAATCAGGTCTGTTGAGGAAATAGGATGGCATAGTCTGGACCTGCCATTTCTCCTTAGGTCTCCACACAGTTTGGCTAAATGGATGCCCTGTGGAAATGGGTGCCTGTTTTGAAACCTGGACGTTCCTCACACTGTGTTTGCAGCCCAGAGTACACCCTACACTGGCCACACATCCACAGCAGATGAACAGTCCCAGGAAACCCCCCAAAGAGCAAGGCGTCATGTACTGCGCTCTGAAATGTGCCACATATACAGTGCAAATCTCCTACACGGCTCTGCTAGATTCTTGTCATGTGCAACCAGGGTGGCAGGGGCAGAACATCCATCCCACTCCTCCCTCGTGGAGCTGCTGTCACATCAAGAAAAGGGTTAATCGGGACAGATGTAGGACGTGAAAACCGGACACAGGCAGGGGCTGGATGGCCTGTGGCAGGAGGAGGAACCCCTGTCGAAAGTCCCAGAACTAGCAAGAACAGACAACTTGAATTCTATTGTGTAAGTGGGGACTTGTCCGTGATGGTATAGTAACAACTAGAATTAGAAAGGAATAAAGAGTGAATTCTTCCTTCATCCCAAGTGTGTTCCCTCCAGGGCAAAGGTCAAGTGCATTGTGTGGCACTGTTTGGATTCAGAATAAAATAAGTGACAAAGGCGAAAACCTGGGGCATGCACAAGGACTGAATAAAGAGGAGTGTGGGCTAGACACCAGAAACCACTTGCTCACCCTAGGGGTCATTAACATGTGCAGTAGGTGACCTCATGACATGGCGCAGGGGCAATAGAGACACTAATGTGAGTCATTTAAATGCTGGCTTGAATGTATTCAACTATTGATAAACGCATCTTTCTGAGCATAGCTATTGGTAAAGTGACCAGCTCCTCCGGTAAAATGGAGACGGGGCCCCTTGCTTGCTGGAATTTAGTTTCATCTATATTCTTCATTTCTCCATGGAAAAAGGGGGCTTTGTTGGTGTCTCTCTTCAGATTGTCTCCCCATCCCATATAGATTCTATAGGCAGGGCCCACTCATGCATTCCTAGAATAACTGATTTCATTTATTTATTTATTAGTCAAGAGCTTCTTTGAGGTCCTATCACCTCTTCCTCAACTGAACTTCAGATAATCTGTTTTAGAGCTCAGGCTTTTGGGGGTTTGAGCTGCAGGCTGGTGTCTAAAGTTGGATCTGGGTTTGGGATTTTGGTTCAGAGCTGTTCCATGCTGTGATACAGCTGTTCCCAGAAAACCTGAGATGTTCTTCAGAGATGCACGTTCAAAGCAGTGGAAATCTTACGGGAATAAGTGGTGGAAGATAGCTTCATCCATCTGCTTCAAAGCCACATGAATAGATGTCAAGACTGTTGAATTTGGATCTAAGGAGTATCACAACTCCTAAACTAAACCATGACCTCATCCAAATTAATCCTTCCTTCTGATTACATCCTTAGCTTTTTCATTCAGCTTTCCTGTCTCTGATACCATCAATTCCCCTTGAGACTGTTCAGTAACCAGCACCTTGGTGTGGCAAGGAAGACACAGTTCTGCTCAGCAGGTTCTCCTCCAAATGCAGCCTTGCTGGGATGGAGTGTGTCCTGATATTTGCACCTTTATCAAGATTTTATCATGGCATATTGAAGAAGGCTTCTTGCAGACCTTGGCAGACAGAAAACTCAGGCAAAGGCTAACAAGAACTGCCACATTAACTACCCTGGCCACAGAAAAGTTGCTGCAGGGTGGAATGTTTGAAAATAACTGGTGTGCTCTTATACCAACATAACCTTTGAGAGTGCCAGGCCTGTAACTCAAGCATTAATAATGGATTACCAAAGTCAACCAGCTGCAAGGGAACCACTTCTTCCTGCTTAGATAATTCTCTTCGCTGAGAAGAAGAGCTATTGATTTTGATACTGATTCCTTCCTCCCCAGTGGAAGGGCTACACCCCACTGCCACTGCCTGTGACAGTGAGCTCTCTCCTGATCTGCACACACCAAACACATCAGCCACATTATTCTGCTCCAGGAACAGAGACAGCCCCCCAGGACCACTGAGACTGCCACTGAAGCTGTATGCACTCTTATTTCTCACCAGAAGATCCAGCTTTGCTTTTCAGTGTTGGTTTCTCATGAGACTGCAACAAGTAACTTCTCTGAGCACCGTGAACCTGGCTAGACCCCCATTGACTTTACACTATCCACAGCATAAAGGATAGGGATGAATACCAGCTTCTATCCACCACATGCAACACCAGCTGGTTGTGCAAACATCCTCACACATGAATGTCTTTGCTTTGCTATCTTCATCTATTCTGCTCTCCTGAGTCCACATTTGTGCCTGCAATCCCTGGTGGGGCTGGAGGGAGGTAGAAGATCATGTTCATGGTAAGGAAGCGTTATAGTCATGGACTGAGCTGGAAATCCATCCATTTGGTTTTAGGCCAGCCTGAAACAGGAACCATGTGCAAGTTTGTGGCGCCTTCATATAGAACCCTTCATCTGTCTTCCAAAGAAAAGAGGTGCTTGCAGTCACACAGGTCTGTGTATTCATCTGCCACCTGTCTCTTCACCATGGGGACGTTTGAGCTCATTGGCCAGCTTTAGCCACATTTAGCTGCGGTTAATAAATGCAGTCTAAAAAGATATGATGAAGTCAAAGCAGTCAGTTGTAACACCAAAACCCTACTGACAGCCTGAGATGGGGCAAGCCTGCGGCACATGTTCAACCTTAATGAGACACTCGAGAAGGCACCTGGGAAAGAAAGCCACTTAGAAAGCCCTGGGTGTGGGGCATCTTCTAGTCTGAGTTCACACTGCTCCAGACATCAGAGAATCCAACTACAAGAGGCAAACCTGCAGGGAGTTGGGCTTCATTACTTCCTCAGCTTGCGGAGTAACTTGTTTTCTTGGACCACCTTTCATCTCTTTGCAGGCATGAGCTGTGGAAACAAAGGGCTGGATGCATGACAGGATTTAGGGTGCTGTTACAAAATGGTGGGAGCAAGGGTCCTCTTTTATCTGGAGCCCTGTGGGAAGCTGGCAGTGATGACACAGCTGCGTGGCTGGGTGCTGAGCCCTCGGGCTGGGCGAGGGAGGTGGCACTAGGGCTGGTTGGGAAGGGGGATACTGGGGATCCAGACCAAGAAATAAACCCCCTCTTTTATAGCAGAAATACCAAAATGAGACATTTGGGTAGTTTGAGTCTTGTTTGTGGAAAGAAGTCAGATTGAATGAATAGTTAAAATAACTTCATGGTACAAATGGGAAGGAACCCCTGGAATTTGCTAGTTTAGGGCATAAAAATTGTTTCTGAAAAATACAAAGACACGAAACAAACAACACAACAACAACAAAAAAAAAAGACCAAAAAAAAAAAACACCAACCTACAAAACCCAGCTTTTTACCTGCTACAACCTGCTGACTGCTCGTCCTCTTGTCCTCTATGGACATGCCTTCAGCCCAAAAATCTGAGCAACCTGTGCCAGTTCTCACCACCCTCACAGGGAAGAACTTCTGCCTCATCTCAATCTACCCTCTGGCAGGTTAAAAGCCAGAGGACAGCCTTGTCCTGTCCCTCCAGGCCCTTGTCAAATACCGACAAGCTCAAATGTGCTCCTAGGTGCCATCAAACTGCGTACCTGCCATGCATGTTGGGGTTTCACCAATGGCATGTTTGCTCTCCACAAGATGCAGACTGGACTTGTGGGTTTCTCCAGCTGAAAAACCAAGCACTGGATGGGGACACACTGTCCCATAGCCCTGTGCACACACAAGGATGTGCTGAGGACTCATTTGTGTTTTCTGTGAACAACACCCTTTGGTTTTGGGCTCTATTTGTTTTCCTCTCCAGGTAGTTAAGGCTGTGTTATCTTCAGACCACTGCTTTTGTGTTAAAGTGTGTTGGCACCCCCTTCCTCAGTATTGGCTGCGACAGTCCAGGAGAGGAAGGCTTCTGTTTAACACATTGTGCACGTAACCTGACATATTGCCCAGTTTTAGTATGCTGTTTTATCAGGTCATGCAGTCCCTTTGAAGGTTCTTTGCATATTTCCAGAGCACACTATCTACAAACAACTTCTGCTTCCTCCCTTCTCAGTTGCTTACAGCCATGTTGACAATCTAAATACTACATTGCCTGATAAGCAGCAAGCTTCTCATTTGACTTATCTTCTTAAATTAAAAGTAAAACAAAGCAAGAGTCTTCTGCCATGAGACTGCTGCCCTGGAAACCATGGCTGAAGTGATAAATCTGGTTTCTCCTTCTTCAGGAACTGATTTTCCACTTGCTTAAAGCAGGTAGATGCTGGGGGGGGTGTTTACCCAACTTATACAGCAGTAAATAATTGCAATTTTTGCTGCACCTCTTTTATTCAGTGCATTTTTAAAAATAGGACTTCAAAATCAGCCAAATCAGGTTGCTTTAATCCCAAGTGAGACTTTGCATCCAGCAAAATAACAAAATGTAAGGAACTATTTGAGCAGTTATTGGGGTAAATACATGCACCAGCCAAGGATGGCCATGGCTACAGAGCCACCCTGCCCTTGAAGAGGTGCCATGTGGAGATTTCTGCATTTTCTTCTCTACAGCTGTACATGCTGGTATGGATGTAGCCTTGGGTGTCTTGTCAAGAAAAGCCCAACCTCACTGAATCGTGGATCAAGGAATATGCTGTTTATGAAAGTTGTGCTTCAGCCAAACACAAAGCTTCGGATTCAGTTCAGGAGCAACCCAATGAAACCCCATGGTCTGTGGTGCAGCAAAGACTGATGCATCTTCCAGTTCCTGGGAAGTCCAGGGGTTCTGTGGCAGCTGGTGGAAAAAGAAGTGTCTCTTTGAAGGTGTTTTTTCCCATGTCTCACACTTCACAGTCAAGGTGAGTGAATGAGCTTTGGGTAGCACTGCTGGCACTCTCTGAGGGTTGCACATGGATGCTTAGGCTCAGATGTCTCATTTTTGGATGGGTGAAACTGAGGTGTATTTTGCCTATGAGGCTGTAGGAAAGGCCTCTGGCCTGCAGTGTCAGTGTCAGAATTGATTAGGAAGATGCCTGGTGACACCAGGATACTCAATCTTCTTGTGGTCAGCACAAGAAGTATGGGTTATTGTCCTTAGTCAGACTCGGGAGGTCCCCCAGTGTTTCCCTCCAACTACCTGTGAAGTTTGACCATTTCTCATGTCGATCCCCTTTAACCTCCTTGAGGTTTTCCCTCACATTGTTGTTCTTCTGTCCTCTGACACTGGCATCTGTCACATCCAGTGATTTCTTCTGTCAGGACCAGTAGCTTGAGCTCCAGGCAGCTCCAATAGATGCAGTTAGGTGGTGAACAAATTGACCAAGCCCCATACCAGAACACACAAGGTTAGCTGGAGCCTGTGCTAGTTTTCACCCTCCTCTTTACTGGTGCTGCAAGAGAAGACGAGGCAGATGGCTGACCTCATCCTTCTGAGTGCTCCTGCAGATCCACACCTTGCAAAGGATCCCCACAAACCCGGAACAGCCCCTGGACAAAGCTGGGAGCCAGCATCCTGGCTCACACAACCACAAAGAAGCAGCACTACCGCAACCAATTCCCTCCTTCCAGCCCTGGCTGGGGGCTGACCTGGCCCCCATAGCAGTGACCACCTCTTCTGTTGAAAGCAGCTGGATTTTGGCATGCTCCTGTAAGGGAAAGGAAACCTTTTTCTTTCCCCCTTCTTCTTCTCCTGCATTTTGATGGGGTTTGAGATCTCTCAGAGGAAGACGCTCTTCCCTTTTTATCAATTAGGAGCACACATGCACTCTCTCCCACCCCTACTCTGCCTTCCTCCCTGCTCCCCTTGGCTGCTAGTTTCAGACAAAGATGTGTGAGTTCTTTGATCTGCCTGGCAGCCACCACTGGGGGATTGGCTTGGAGGTTAATTACACACAGGCCGTCTCCAGCTGTGGCAAGGAGCCATTCAGCTGGAAAAGGAGGTGTCCCTTCTCCCCCCAGCTATAAACTTCAAGGGGACAGGAGGGCAAGGAAGGTACCACTGAAACCCCTTTTGATATGACAAACGGGCTTCTTGCTTGCCTCTCTGGTTCTTGTTTTGTTTGTCTAACTGGTATTTGAAATATGGATGAGCTCTCAGTCCTGAGGGTCCAGCCACCAGCTTAACAAAACCTTGCCTCTTTCCCCCCTTCCCCTTCCGCCTGGGCAGAACTGGAGTTTAGCTCTTATGTCTCTCTTGCCTGTCTGTGTGTCCTTGTCCAGGAGCCCCCTTCCCATGACTCAGCCCATCATGGATGGAGATGCAGAGGCTGAACCCTGCTCAGCGCATGGTCGAGCAGCACTCCACAGCAGTGCCAGGAGCAGGAGCCTCATCCAGCAGAGGAAAGTCATCGGAGCAGATGGCTGGCACCCAGCAGGTTTGTGTTCAATCCCTCTCTCTGTGGCTGATTTGCTCTGTGATTATCTTTTTTCTTTCTTTCTTTCTTTTAAAGCCACTTAATCCCCCTTGTGCCTCAGTTTACCAGTCTTCACAATAAAAGCAAGAAACATTTATTCACTGCTTGGGGTTGGATTGAGGCTGATTGATTTGCTTGTCCAACATCCCAAACAAAGTACTGCTTCAGAAGAAAGCTGTTGATATAATCCCCCCTGCATTAACAAAATCCTTCCCAAAAGGAGCTTACATGGATGCTTCAGGGCAAAGCGTGGTTGGATTTCAGTTGCTTTCCAGTGGCTTACAGACCCCTCCATTGGCTTCTGGGCTCCCCCAGCATACCTAAGTGTGGGTCTGGAGTTACAGGATCCCATGCAGTGAGCAGAGGGAACCTCAGGCAGCCAGATGAACCTTTCACTGAGACCAGAAGTGGGTAATATTCTACATCCTCAAGGGCATCACGCAGCCTAGACCACATCCATGCGGGAATGCCACCCCATGCTTGGATCCAGGCCTTCTTCTGAGCAGATCTGGGGCAAGATCCAAATTCCTTATGCAATATGCTTTTCTGATGCAGTCAAGAACCACAGTCACCTCTGCTGGCTGTCAGTGGGCACTATCAATGGTTTGGGGCAAAACATGCCTGTCTTGAGAACGTGCATGAAGCCAACCTGCTTGTGTGGTGTTGGGATGTGAGCAAAGCTCAGAGCCAGGCGAGCAGAGGGCACACATCTATGCTTTTGCTGACAAGCAGAAGTTTAAGTGTGGCTCGTGCATGGACCTATGGGTGCTTGTGTCTGCTCCATCTCGTCCTACCCTGAATTGAAATGAGCAAAAAGTCATGTAGACAGCCTGAGAGAGCTGGGCTGGTTCAGCCTGGAGAAAGCTCCGTAAGGGGAGACCTGAGAGCAGCTCCAGTGCCTAAAGGGGCTGCAGGAAACCTGGAGAGGGGCTTGGGACAAGGGCCTGTAGGGACAGGCCAAGGGGAATGGCTTGAACCTGCCCGAGGGGAGACTGAGATGAGCTCTTAGGCAGAAGCTCTTCCCTGTGAGGGTGCTGAGGCGCTGGCACAGGGTGCCCAGAGAAGCTGTGGCTGCCCCATCCCTGGCAGTGTTCAAGGCCAGGTTGGACACAGGGGCTTGGAGCAAGCTGCTCTAGTGGAAGGGGTCCCTGCCTGTGGCAGGGGTTGGAGCTGGAGGAGCTTTAAGGTCCCTTCCAACACAGACTGTTCTGCGATCTATGAATCAGACACCCTGAAGCTCTGGGTCCGTATTACTGGCAGAAAAAGGCAGCCTTGACCAACAGGTCAATGTGTTTTCTGCTCAGGAGTCAACTCTGATATCAGTCTCTTGCAGATGAGTCACTGCTCCTGCTGACTCAGCCAAATGGTGTTGTTCCTCGAGTTGCCTGTAAATAACGCATCCAAGAAGTTGATCCCCTTCCATTTAACTTGGCCAGAGAACCTCTGTGCCCTGGGGGCAGCTGGGGCAGGCTGCAGAGGGGAGGATCTGAGGAGACAAGTTGGCTCAGAGCCTGTATTACACTGTGGGAGCAGGTCCCAGGGGCCTGCCTGTGTGTGTGCGTGAAGCCATGGGGACAGACATGGTTGTTGCGGCGATGTAGGGGTCAGCAATGCCCACAGCAGCAGCTGGTTTGTGCAGAAACAGTGGTGGAAGCTCCTCTGTGTGTGTCCAGCAAGGTGCTGCTGGAGATGCCTTCCCTTTGTGGGGTTTGGAGCTTTTTGGAGCTTCCCTTTGTGGTTTTTTCCTGCTTATCCAGGCTGGGAGTGCCTCTTCCCCATAAGTCACATCCCTCCGCTTGTGCTAAGTGTGATCTCGCCACCACCCTTTGCTGCAGCCCTGTGCTCTGTGGTGGAGGAGCTGGGAAGCCCCCTGAGAGCACACACCCCGGGCAGGGAATGGTTAATCTCCTGAAGCATTGAACCCTGGTGGGCTTTTTTTCCCCTGCAGTAATGAGAAGTGGAGTGTGCACATCGCACTGTGATTATTACCTGTTTATTTTTTCATGAGGCTTCTCCACTGTGTGTCACTCTCGTGTCATCATCCATAAAACACATTGATTTAACCATTACTTTGGAACAGCACTCGCCTGCTCCACAGGCTGGATACCTGTCCCCTGGGGGACCCCGGAGTGACAAAGCGGGCTCAGAGCTAGCCCGCTGCCTCACTCCTCCCATGGTGTTTGCCCCTCCTCTAGCTCTTTTTCCCGTTCATCTCTCTTTCCTCTTCCTCTTCTTTACTCTCTATCTTGTGCTCCACCTCCTGCTCCCATTCAGTGCTGTCCCCTGCAACAGGCAAAGGACATCTGCCCCAGCCTTGTGCTCTGCAGACATGGCACCAGCTCCAAATATCCTGCAGGGCTTAATGAGCATCCCTGCATCCCTTCCCACACAGCCAGGAGGGATGCTCCTGAGGGAGCATTCTTGCAGGAGCTTTCAGCACATCAGTGGTAGTGGTGACAAGAGGTGGCCATACACCAGGGATGTCTCTAAACCTGGAGGTGGGATTCGCCTCCTCCCTTCCAAAGGTGTGAGCAACCAACACAGCCTGCCTTTAGTTTTGTATCATTGAAGGAGAGAGCAGTCACTGCAGGGACATCCCAAGGGGATTCCCCAGGGAAGTGTCTGGAGCTGTTTCTCCCTGGATAAGAAGGGAACCAGCCCTCACTGTTAACATTTGGAAGTAGATAAAGTGGGCCACTTTAGGGGACAAGCTGTTCTGGCTTCACACTTGCAGGCGGTGGCATACAGAGTTCCTCGGCACTGATCTGCTCTCAGAGGAGCCTGGACTAGGAATCATACCATTGTCAGGCTGAAATCCACACACCATGGGTTGGGGAGGCTCTCAGAAATCAAGTACTGCCTCACAGGGTGTTTGCAGAGCTTATTCTAGGGGGACCTTCCTCTCTTCTATCCCTGTGAAACACCCTTCTATATCCTTCCTAGAAATCTTTCCCCAGGCACCCTGTGAGTGAGGGGCCACCAAGGATGGAGGATTAGGGGGGTTACTGGCTGGCTGCTGGGGTTGTCTTATTATGAGCTTTGTCAACGGTGTAATCCAGACCCAAAGCAGATACAAAGGGTTTGATGTACAGGACTGGGGGGCAGCCAGAACTACAGGAGACCAGCCATCCAGTGCCATTATAGGTTCATGGCCAAGTTTCTTTCCACAGCTATTGCTCTCCTTCCTTTACTTCTTTCATCATAGACATTTTGGGTCTGTTAGGCTTGGAGCCAGTGCTTGCTATCCCCGATGGCTCATGGTACAAAGGGAAAGCCTCAAGGGATGTGCTTGAAGTATTTAATTTTTGAGATTTCTGCAAAGATACTTGGAAGGGATTGAGGAAAGAGAGGAATATCTGAACCTGAGGCTCTTCAACAAATCCTCCTTTTTAATTCCTTTTCCCTGTTATGTTCCCC